ATGCCATGCAAAACTAAAACTAATGAATAAAAAAATCTTAATTTCTCACACTTTTTTTTTAGATTTTGTTCATAATAAATTGTTATATATATTTGAAGGCTTGGCCTGTAGTTGTGGGAGGGGCTTGGTTCCCCTTTAAAAGGGCTGCCAATCCACTCCAACCTTACCGTTGCTGGTCTGGCGAGTCTGAAGCATTTTACTTCTGGTTCAGACCGCCATCTTGGATTTTCCTTACCTGTTTCCTGGTGGTCTCCTGGTCTGGTGCTTCCCTGGCTCTCCTTCCCGTTACCGGCGTCCGCACAGCCCGCTCGTTACTTTCCCGCCGCAAAAAAACGTAAGTCAGACCCGCCGTAAAGCAACCACCGCAAATTCTTGCTTTACATGGTGGAGCCCCGTTTGTTTAAAACGCTATCATTCGGTTATATACATATAACATCATTCTGTTCGGTTTTCGAATGCCACTTAGGATGCATTTATTCGCATGTTTCAACACCCTACCTAGTTCGTTCAGTAATTACACAAACTCACGAATAAGCACGAATTCAGCCGGTACTCCATGGGGATTTTTGCCCTACTGGTTGCAAACATTATTAGTCACTTATATAAATTCTACTAAAGTAAATAGAAATGTTTAAAACTGGATGATGTGTCCTGATTTTCCTGACTTTTCCCACAGATTTATACCAGGGGTTCGTACTAGGAATTGTGATTTCTGACACTTGTATCAATTATATTTACTTCTAGGTTGGTTGGAATTAAATTATAATTTTGAAGGCCAATGATACATATTAAAATTAGTTAAGTGTGTAATTTACTCTTTTAGGTTATTATACGTTGGACGGTAGCTTTTACAAGCAGGGAAGCCGTCCTCTTCTTTTCGGTTAAATCTACCCTCTGCAGAGTGTCGGGTAGGTTCTTGTTTTACAGCCCACGATCTGGCCAAACCACTACATTACAGTCAGACGTTTATATATCAAATCTTATGTCCACAGGTAAACACCTCGATACTCTTACAGTCGCTGGTTACCTCTACTTTGACAGCTCAGCCTGACTCACACACATTAGGTACTACGCTAGAACCCATTACTTTCCATGTTCTGAGTGGTACTGGTCCTAGATTACGTGACTCAATTAGGAAAACATTTTCTGGTCTTAATCCATAGGCTAGTGGACCTGCGAGACCAACACCCCCATCCTCATACTCGGAGGAATACATCCCTCGGGCCAAATCATAGCTAGCCGTCTCGCAT